TATATATATACAGTTGTAATGATTTTCCTTTGTCTCCATAAAGGGCTGTGTAGAGCTACCGTGCCTTTTGATATAACATAGTGGGCGGAGCAGGAAGCCAAGGGACCGATACGGAGTTGCATTACCGTACATCAAGCCATAACAGTCACCGAGGTACACAAACCTCTACACGAGTGTAAGGTCCAGTATCTTCGTGACGACGTACATACATCAACTCGATGAAACGCATTTCAAAGTCAATTAGCAGAAATCGCTTCCGTCCCATACAAAATCGGCTATTGGAGAAGCGAATGCTTAGTCGCCCTGTCACCTCAGGAAGCTTGTGGGAGCAGTGCATTTGTTCGCGAGCGGCGTACGCTGCTCTATCTCCAAATATATCTGAGCCCAGAGAATTTCCCTTTTAGATTGGTTATTTGGGATATTTTTTGAAACTCTCTTAGTTGATTAGCTCCCTAGATAATTAGTCTCTCACCGATGATTGGCAGGAAAAATGGAACTGAATTCCAATAAAACATTTCCTTACTGCCTCTTGGATGGTGAGTAACAAATCATGACAGCTCCCTTCGGTCAACAGTTAATTCTGAGTTCTCTGTCGCATGGTATTTTAATCACAAAAACTGATTTCGTAGAAAGCCCCACTGCACGAACATGCATTACGGTCGGCCTCCGTCTAGTAGGTGAGGAAATTTAAAGGGAGTGGAAAGTCATGTCGCTTTTCGAGAACTCTTGTGATGATGGTAATAAAACCTGTTTATGCAGTCGAATGCGGGGATGGATTATTCTCACAAACTTCCTTATGCTGACAAATTCGCTTGCGTTTGGCCTGCAGAAGCAGTTTCGTGGAACATCACGATTTTCAGAAAATCGTGACTGAGTTCGTTTATGTATGTAATATCGTTTCATAAGGAGTGATCAACTTCCACTAAAACAGGCGTTTTGTCCTTCTTGATGCATCAGTTCGCGAATAGTGGTTTGACTGTAAACACTAGAGAGTAATGAGACGTCCGAAACAACAATTAGTGGACTTACCTCCCGGATGTGTACACAATCGATCTTGTATAAATTATAACCGTTCTTGTCCAAGTATCCGGCAGTAAGACAATACGCTGTATCAGCTGAGTCTTTCCACCAGACTTCAGTAGTTCCAAAGGCATGGGATAAAACCGAAGTTCGTCCTTATCAATGGGTTGCACTGCGGCCGCTTGTACTTTAATAATAGTTGCAGCTTTTGTTTATTTTCAGCTCAACAAACATAGGGATTTCCCCCCCATAATTCGCCATGCTTTTCAACTTGAGTATTTTCAATGTGATTCTGACAGGATTGGCCTTTTTCACGCTGTTTACGGCATTTCAAACAGCATCGCAACTTTCGGTATGCATTCACTTTTGTACGTTCCCTTTATTCGCCTCGTTATCGATTTCCAGCAAGTCGTTCTTGAATCAGCTGCTAAAGGAACTGATCAGAATGTTGGGGTTGGTTATGTGAGGTTAGTTGTTCCTTTGATTTATCCGATTTTGGCTCCAGCTTATCCATAGTGTATGCAGCATTCGCTATCTTTAACTGGTTTTCCCCGGTGGCTGTATTATTACTGGGTGAGAAATATACCATGTTTCTCGGGTCCATCTGCTACTTGTAGGTCTTACTCGGTTACTTATCCAAATCTCTCCAGTCTCTTCGTAGCCTGCTTTATGGAGCCACGTGCTTGGAGTCTGTATCTTGGTTCAGTTGTTTGTGGATTCGGGGCGGCAGGTATGCAATCTTTCCTAACTATTCTGGTAGTTTCATGCGTTTTCAGTTCTCTGGACTGCACAAGGTGCATTTATCACTCGATGGTCAGATTCTCGCAACATCAATAAACATTTCAGTATATTTTGGGCGTTGTTACAATTATCGTAAGTGTTGGAAATTTCATCCATGTTTTTTACACTTTGGTTTGCCCTTCGTTCATGAAATCAGCTAGAGGAAAGTTCACTATTGAACGTGCTCGACGGTGAGGCCTGTAGACCCATATCTAAGATTGTCATCGGACATTTTTCCAACTGTGTCTCAGTCGTGTGGAGGGTTCCTTCTTATCTCAGTAGCACTGTTTAGTGTTACTACCATCGATATGGCAGCGAAGTATCAGTTTTGAACACTTGCATCATGCTGTCGATGATAGTGACTACCATCGTTTATGTCATGTTTATAACCAGCTCTTTTCACTACAACTTATTCACTGAAACTTTGGAATTGGTTGAAATTAATATAGTGTCCGGGCCTTGCTTCAACAAAAACTCATGGATTTCACATCATGGAATAAATAAAGCATATTTCCAGAACCAAACTCATGCGAGCAACATCAAAACAAACCGTATGACTTGTGGACATGTGAGAAGGTGTGGAATAACGGACTACGTGCGATAAAAAGTCAGCCACCAGCTTATCTTCACCTAGTCTGTTGTCATATCATGTCGACGTTCTGGTTGTTACTTGTGCTAGTATACATCAAAGCATATTAAACTAACCGGTCGCTGGTCGGTGCTCCCAGAACTTAATGACGAACTTAATGACACCTTCCACAGCTCTGATGACTCCGTCAAATTTCTTTACCGTGAATTGTTGGTGTTGTTTATGCGTCGACAGGAACAGGAGGCAACAGACCTTTTCTTTCGTTCCGGCTTTCTGATTGCAACATTTGAAGCATCTGTTTCCGCTGAAAGTCGACCACATGGACCGATGGTTACAAGTGCTACACTTTTATTTTTTGTCTGAGGTTGTTAAAAACTTCGGTGTGCTCTTCCTTTAGGACAACTATGCCGTTCTGAACCAAATTATATATTTTGTCTGAAAAACGAAATTTTTTGGGCTTAACACAAAGGCATCTCCAGAGATCTATGTTCAGACGTGTGATCATGGGGAGACAAAAACTATAGAGCATCCACGTATTAACGATCTGGTTAGGTCCGAGAGGTTGCTTGTCGGATTCATGCTGTCACTTCTGTTGGGCATGATTCCGTTTTGTTTTAAGACCCCTGAGGGCGACAAAGGTCTGTGGTGTTTTGAATTGACGCAAAAAAACATGTCATGTGCCCAATTAGGTGTAAACTGTTTATTTTAGCTACCGTTGTTATTACTCTCCAAAGCTCGTGATCCCTCCCCTGGATCGGTATCCGACTAAATCTCAGTCACAAACTGCAGTCAAAATCAAATTCTTTTGCTCGGTGTTTATCACATTCTACCGAAGATCAACGACCACTTAAGTAAAACCGTAACAGTATTTGCAGCAGTCACATGAACAGGTCAAGAGCTGGATAAAGCCAATAATTTCACATCAAGTCGAAGTTCCCCAGCAGTGTAAACGGGTCTGTGGGTATGCATCCTGTGGAAAATGGGATGAACTTTTTAGCAACGTGCTTGTACTATACGCTCGCTTGGCGTGGACCAGGGCGGTCGTCTGGTGGGGCTTTTCTTATTCTGACCTCATTTTGAGTAAAAGTTATTCTAATTTACTGGGCATTTTCGCTGTGGAGGTTGGGTAATTGAAAAGAAATCAGCGTCTGAATCGTCCGTAGTTTTTCTTCATGCGACTGACGATACTTGCATTCGGCCTTTACACAGTAAAGTAACCTCTTCAGGCGACAGCTGATCAGAAACTACTGAACACTCCCAGAATACGTTATCGTGGATTATATTGTTACTATTACTATAACTAGTACACGGCTTACATTGCCACGACAGACTGCAGAATGGTCCATATTCCACAACCTCACCAACAGTTTCGCTCTAAACGGCTCGTCGATGGGGGATTTTACATACCGGGTGATTTTCTTCAACAGCAACTTCGCTACCCCACGAATGCTCGCAACAGAGTGCTTTTCCACACAGCATATTCTACCGACCTGAGGCATGATGCCTGCTAGACGGAACGGTAGATGTATGATCAGACTGATGATTACAGATATCTACAACCGATTAAGGAAATATGGGTGGATCCTTAACAAAAGAAGGGATGCATGAGAACAACTTAACATAACTATGAAACCAAGAAGAGGGCTATATACGACTGAAAAGAAACGCATCACACTGGAGTGTGAATTCTCCACAATAGTTAAGCCAAGTGGGCACAAAGCATAGATCATAAACCTGTTCAGCGGGCGGTTGAAGGCATAGAAGGGAAACATCCTTATCGAAAGGCTTAATCGTAATTTCAAGGATGTTAGCAATTCTGTATATTTGGCCACCTTTAAATCCAGCAGCCTCAGGAAGACGATACGCAAAACTCTTTTTAGCTGTCACGTGAAACATGACGTACAAAGCCCTATCTGCTGAAGAAAAAAGCATGGCCTCAAAGTGGATGTGAAACCATTATTATCTCATCAGTTGACAGGGAAAGAACGCCAGTCAGTCTGGACAAAGCAGAATACATGGACAAAACCGACCTGTCCAACCACACTACCCTCCTCGAAACGGCCAAACTACATAACTCACAAACAAAATAAATAGAACCCCGAAGAAACCTAATAATTTAGAGACCTGGAGACTGAAGACCTTTGACTCGGAAGTTACCCAATTCTTCGGGCTACCAAAGTTTAACCAAGAACCTGTACGAATCGTCCAATCGTCTCACTGACAGAAGTGATCATACATTATTTCAAAATAACAATGAATTCGGGTAATGTTTCTCACCAATATTCCATAAACAATACACAACAGGCCCAAACACCAGAAGAATAGAAGACGACGAAATAGTGGTGTCGAATCTTTTCAAGATAAGCAAAATGTGCATGTGCGAAAAGTTAAGCCCTGCCACTTTTTGCCAGCTCCAATTTAATGTACGCACACAACCTTGACCTATTTTTGATAAAAACAATTCCTTAAATGAACTTTCTGACGCTTTCAACTCTCATTCATGACGAGGAAACGGCCATACGTTTTTCGCAAAGCCATGGAGTGATACATCGGCAACTTTCATGTAACAATGGCATGAACTTTCGACGCTTTCAACTCTCATTCATGACGAGGAAACGGCCATACGTTTTTCGCAAAGCCATGGAGTGATACATCGGCAACTTTCATGTAACAATGGCCACCGAATGACACTTTCACCTGATTCTGACAGGTAGTGTAATGCCCCGAAGAACTTTCTTCGCGAATTTCGCGTCTGGCGGCTTTTGCAGAATCCAACAGTTATCGGCGGCCCAGGTTTATCCGTCGAGATCGATGAAACGCTAATATCTCGCCGTAAAAACCACGCAGGGCGAGTCCTTCCCCAGCAGTGGATTTTCGGAGGGATCTGACGGGAAACTAAACAAGTGTTCATGTATGTAGTGCCAGATCGAACTGCGGCCACTTTGATGAACACAATCCAGACCTGCATCGCTCCCGGCCCAACATCATCACCGATGTGTGAGCATCATACCGAGGAATGGAAACCATGATTGATATGAGTTATACTCATGAAACGGTTAATCATACTGAAAACTTTGTGGATGCAACGACTGGAGCTCACGCACAAACAATCGAATCTCTTTGGCACGTGTACAAGATGCAGAATAATCGCCAGTGCGGCGAGATGGCCGAAGTGGTTAGAGCGCGGATTGCTAACCTGAAGGTCCGCAGTTCGAATCCGACCTCCGCCACTCGACTTCCCCTGTCTAGGCTTGGGCAACCTGGCAGTATCCCAGCCCTCGTGCTTCCTTCGGGTGGCATGGCAGCTAGGCACCGGAAGGGTGCTACAGCTGAACGCTTTTTTATCAGTGCGGCACACACCGATCTTTAGTGAATAGCTACTTGTGTGAGTTCGTTTGGAGGCAAAGGTACCGAAAAATGGGCCTTTTCATGCAGGTTGCTAATTATATGTCCCAATTTCAACCTCTTCAATAAAAACTAAGAGTACAAATTCCACATCCTCTTTTTTCTAACCTTTTTGGGTGGCGGGGATTACATTTTTTTGGGGGGGGGGGGGGCTTATTTGGAAAGGATCTGTGGTGTTTTTCGGCATAACTCCACAGTTCACATCGGTCGATTTAAATTCTGCATGATTGCCGAACTTCTGGACAACCGGGGAGCTCTAAACTAACTAACTGCTAACTACTGGATCTATGTTTTGCAACCTACTTTGAGTTCGGTCGCGAATTTTAGGAACCACTCAATAGAGTGTCAGCGGGATCACCAATCTCGATTTTCATTGTGGATGTTTCACTTAAAACTGGGGGTAGATTGTACTGCCAGACTGCGATATGTAGGTGAATGTCTGCTGCTAGAAAATGAGTACATAGCCATCAACGAACCAATTGCTGAACAGCGTATTCCTCGCCCACTTCACAATGGAAACGGAGAGCAACAAGTTGACATTTCTAGATGTACTGGACAACAAGACAGCAGATGGTTGGCTGCAAACAGTGGTATAAAGAAAAGAGGCACACGCGGATCGGCTGCTGGACTACTTTAGCAACCACCCAAACTGTCGCAGATGGAGTTGCATCCGAACTCTATTCAAGCGGATCGAGACGGACTGCAATACAACAGAACCGAAGATGGTAGAAGAAAACAAACGGTTGACTGGATGTGGGTTGAATATGCTCTTCCCTCTGCCACACTTGTGGAATTCCCCACTCGATTTCTACCAGCTGGAAGTATGCGGACGTTAGATATATGAAACCTCAGGAAAATCCTGGATACAATACGTAAGGTTGACGGAAAACGCCATTGGTTTTGTCTTTTAGGTGGCTCATTAATTGACTGAAATTCTGGGAGTACACCATTTGATGAACCTGAGATGAACGGTAGTGATCTCTCGATGATTTTTCACCAGCCTCTTGAAGTAGTGTTCTAACCAGAATAGCTACTTCGATGTCTTGAATCTGGACCAAACTGAACATTGAGGCGGCCTCTGCGTAACCCGTCTAAAAACAAGCGTTTACCTCCAAACGCCAGTCATCACGTCATCATCATCATCATCGACAGCATGACATCAGTGTTCAACACCGATGCTTCGCTCTAAACGCCAGAAAGTTGTTCAACGACAAGGTATAAACAATTGTCGTTAATTTTGAAAGACGTCATTCCTAACTAGAAAAAGGTCATTTCGAAAAGGCAATCTGATAACGATTTCCGGAAACCCAACGAGCGACACCGTTCAGTTGTCCCGAAGAGGACTGCTGTGCCCCTTTCCTTTGACACAATGATGGGTGCATAGGTTAGGACACTTGGATCGCTCGCGAAACACTGACCGCTTATAACAACCGTCGATCGTTATCCTCTCTTTCTAACCGAAAACTCTCAGTTTCTATCGCGAACCATCTCCATCTCTGTAACTTCCTGTTTACCATTTTTCAGGCAGATCGTTGGCGGTCTGTATGTCTATCTATCCTTGGCGGATGTGACATACATTGACAGACGTTTACGATTACAGCTTTTCGGTGGTATGCTGGGGTGCGGCGCCGTAGGAACTCTCCTCTTCCTCGGCCTGCGTCCACCACCCGCTATTTCACAGCCCGAAGATCTGTCGGTACTCTCTGTGCCCAACAGTGAAGATGGCAACGATGTAAGGTAACTGGCCCTTATTCGGATGATTTCTAGCCTGTGCTTGAAACTGCCCTAACCTATTAGCTTACTAGTTTAGTGGTTTCTCAGCGGTCTTCGGACATACTTTATACGAACTTATCTCCTACATTCCCCTTCGCCTGTTTTCGTTTTTGTCATGACTTATTGAGCTGTGGCTCCTTAGTTGAAATGGCTCGCCACTAGGGCTATGTTCCGTGCTCGTACCACTATAAACTCCAATTCGTAGAAACTCCCTGAGAAACCTTGTATATAAATTTAGAATATTAGGCATACTGACAAAGGACTAGAACTTGTGAATGGCGGGTTTATTGTGTCCTTATGGGCTATCTCATGTGTCTTGGACCATCATCTTATCTTGTCGAGTGGCGGCCACTCTTCGCGTACGACAACTACAGGTAGGATAACACAAGTGTCGGGAGGTGAGGAATTCAACAGTTTGATGAAAAGGAAATACTGTCATAATTTCCATCTCTGATTCCTGTCTGTAAGAACTCACTTGCCTCGTGCCACCCGAATAACCATGTTGTAGCGTACGAAGCCGAAATTTGGAGAGAACGCAAATCTCATGGTTACTGCCATGCACGTTTCCACTGAGGGACGCGGAAAGTTGGTCGGTTTATCCATTAACAAACCAGTTCACTCTCCAATATAAGAATGGTAAATTTCCATAAAGGACACTACTCACAAGCGCACTATAACAAAACTACATTCTTGTGGACTGTTGGTGCGTTTGCCAAGCGTGGCAGTTGGATTGCAAACATTTCATTACCAATCGGAGTGACGTGATCAGCGCGTGGTGAGGGACGACCAGATCACCAACCAACTGGAGCATCTGAGCTACCTATATTCCGCACATCACTACATTAGTTTGACGGCTGGAACGAATACAATCTGCCAATATCAGGGGCTTGGTTATCCGTTTCGTTGCAATTTTCACACCACTTAAGCCTACTCTCAGTTTTCGGCATTCTGGCCGTTGAAATTCAAATGATGTGGGCGGATTCCTCATGCATAAGATCAGTCACAAATGGAGCCCGCACAGAAAGTTTTTAAAATCGTTATTCTATAGCACCCTTTCAGTGCCTAACTACCATGCCACAAGAGTGAAGCACGAGAGCTGGGGTACTGCCACGTTGCTCAAGCCTAGACAGGTTAAGTCGAGAGGCAGAGCTCGGGTTCGAGCCACTGACCTTGGGGTCAGTAAATTCTCGCTCTAACCACTGAACCAGCTCGCCCCTCAGCAAATTTAATAAAACCGCATAAACGTTTGGAGGAGTTTATCTGTACGCGTGAAAATTCGTAGGATGCATATCTCCAGGTTAAAAAGTGCTTATCTAAATAGTCCTGTCATCAGGGCTTTTATACAGACGCTGACCGCATAATGAGTGATTCCGCAAAACTTGAATAACTGTACAGATGGGTATATACTTCATCCGCGCATTATGCCGAACTCAAACCACAATTTCATACTTTCAGCAAGCTATCGTGGATGCCGCGATCTTTAGGAAACTGCATTATCCAATTCCCAAAATAGCTGCATTAACATGGTAAAATATCGTTACAATAACTCTCTGTTTATCCATCTTGTTGTGCACCTGTGTTTGTATCGGTATCAAAGGGGATTTGTGACCCTACCACTGAGAAGTGACTTTATGATAACTTATCTGGTTTGTGGCAGATCTGTTTGCAAGTATTTTGACGCACCAGGTAGTTACTTACCGTCTCACGTAGGCTACGACTATTCCGATACTTATCCCAAAACTTATTCGAAAGCTTTCGAGAAATACACTAATTTGCAGATCAATTTGGTTTTCACGAGAGTTTTCAGCAACCTTGTGAGTAGTTTCCTCTATGAAAATTAGTCGAAAACTCTTTCAAGTTGAAACTTGACGGTTTTGAACATGATCTGGGCAGCATTGAATTCCTTCCCGTCTGGGCTCCAATCTGTGTATTATTTTCCGTTTTCCAAGGGTATCCCGTCCAAAAATGGTGTTTGATTCCACATTGAAGACATTCTGTGAGTGAAAAAAATGTTGGCCTCATTAGCTAGTTCATTTTCTGGCTTGGTGTTTTTCCTATGCTCCGATAACTATATTCGTCCCTTTCGTTCTTTTTATCTGGGTTAGTATCTCTATGGGCAAAGACAGAAATATGTATCTAAAACGCCGATCTTTGCCGGAGAGTCAAGAACCGTGCACCTATATAAATCTTAAGCTACCCATTTTATTTTATTTCTTTTCAATGTGATTCCTCTGGTATATTTAATTTGGAATTATCATAAAGGAGGTCGTACTACGTGGGGTAGCTGAGCCCTACATGGTCATTGCTAGAAATCATCAATATCATGGACAGCATAACATCAGTGTTCAACACTAGTGCATCGCTGCTGTGCAACTATTATTAGAAGGCGTAATTGTAAGGAAAAAAATAAAAATGGACGGGAAAGGATTTAGTGCTGACCTACTAAAACCATTCCGAAGTGCCTACATCCCAAGATACTCATTCAGGTAATCTGGATAGAAACTGAAAAAAAGAACGCTATTGATATCGATTACCAGTCATATCTTGCAGCATCTGGACAGCATCAGTGTTCAACACTAGTGCATCGCTGCTGTGCAACTATTATTAGAAGGCGTAATTGTAAGGAAAAAAATAAAAATGGACGGGAAAGGATTTAGTGCTGACCTACTAAAACCATTCCGAAGTGCCTACATCCCAAGATACTCATTCAGGTAATCTGGATAGAAACTGAAAAAAAGAACGCTATTGATATCGATTACCAGTCATATCTTGCAGCATCTCCAAGCAGGCGCAGTAGGGATCACACGGCCCCATCTTGAAAGGCGTGTAGCACCGACATCACCCAAACGTTTCGTAATGTCTTTCATACCTCTGTGCTTCCGCCACTCTGAATTGGGCACAGAAAACAGCACCATCTTCGGCAAGCGATAGTTCGGCATACACAATACATAGCCAAAGCAACGCAGCTTCTGGTGCTGGACACATTCTTCAATGAAAGTCCCGTTGCGCAGTCGGAAGCACGCTTTCTAATTGCCTTGTTACGGAGTCACCAACACCAACCCAGACGAACTATGGTTGGGACAACGGTTGTCGAATACCTGAAGACGTCTCAGTTCCGCTGCTTGAACAAGTCAAGTCTCTGGCATACGACAAAACAGCCAGCACTGTAGCCTGCTACGCACGTCCCTTGAGATTCAGGGGTATACCGCTCTAACGCCATGGGTGTCTCAAATTAACGAACGCGTGCAGATTGGTGCATTGACCTCATCTATCACACTTCGACCGGAGCTAATACAACAGCCCAGATAGGTAAAATGCTCCACAGCTTCGAGTACCTCTCCCTGGATTGTAAGTGCCGTGTTTAGTGACTGCATGTCCAGGAGCATGACCTTACACCTTGTGGATTCCAAGTACATGCCAACGGACTGGATGACTTAAGTCAGTTGCTCCCAAAACACCTGTACCTTTTCCTCGTCTTCGAAGACGAGGACGATGTCATTTACATATTCCAGATTGACAAGGTTCTCGTGAGAGTCCATGTGAACACGGGTTTTAAGGACCGTCAACCGTTCGTCTCGTAATTTTGTCCATCACGAATTTAGCTTGGGGTAGAGAGAACG